CTGAAAATGGCTATTATGTCCAGCGCTTGCAATGGGATGTGTCAGAGAAGCAGCGAGGGAGACGAAGAGAGGATGTTAAGAGGAGGAGGTTGAAGTGTGTGTGTGTGTGTGTGTGTGTGTGTGTGTGTGTGTGTGTGTGTGTGTGTGTGTGTGTGTGGTGTGGGTGTGTGGGTGTGTGTGTGGGTGTGTGTGTGTGTGGGGTGTGGTGTGGTGTGTGTGTGTGTGGTGTGGGTGTGTGGGTGTCTGGGTGTCTGGGTGTGTGGGTGTCTGGGTGTGTGTGTGTGTGTGTGTGTGTCGGTGTGTGTGTGTGTCGGTCGGTGTGTGTGTCGGTGGGGATGTTGTGTCCGTCCTCCGTTCCTAAGGTGATATTGATTTTGTGTGTTGCAGACTATAGAAGAAGAGCACCACAGGCTGCAGGAGGCCCTTTCCAAGTTCTCACTGGAGGGGGGTAACTTCCAGTGAGACACCATCACGCCACCTGCTGGCCACTAGGTGAGAACACTGAACTGGAAATTTTAAATTGACGCTCTAGTATAATTAAAGTTTAAGTATCTGTATGAGTATCGTCATTCATCATCAACTTTTAGAATTGCGAATACACAATATTAATAATAATAATAGCTGTTGTTGCTATTATTTCTAAAACATTTCCAAACAGTTACAAAGTGCTTTACATGGTTTCCACTAATTTAGAGAAAATCAGACACACTGATCAGAAAGTGAGAGTGAGTGAGTGTGAGTGAAACGGAATAAAATACCCAACAATAAATTACGATAAAAAGGGTTAAGTAAACAAACGGAACAGATAAAACATATATATATATATATATATATATATATATATATATATATATATATATATATATATAAAATATATAATAGTGTGATGATAATAATTTTAATACTATGTACATTTCTGGATTATTAATGCACCAAACCTGGATGTTTTGTTCACTTGATAGAAACTTGATGCTCACATTTTCTGACAAGAGAATTTCATCTTTCAATAAAAATATTGATTAAATCATTTCTATTTTCAGCCCTGACAAGTGGTTGCAGTCTTCCTGTCATGTTGTATATGACCAAAACAACCTCCATAAATAATAATACAGAAGCTTATATGTAGCCTGAAAGACAAAGTGGTCTCTGATGACTTATTTATTTTAACTGGATATTTTTGTGGTCGTAAAGTCAGAGGACATTGTTTTAAACTTTGACTAAATTTAACTGAAACTGTAAAAGAGAGAGTGACAAAAATAGTGCCTGATTCCCAGTGGAAATAATGACCTTTTTCATCATCAGTCTCATTATCTTTACATAATGTTTTCTCACATTCAAACTTTCCCTCTGTTTTCTCTGTTTAGATTTTTACTGGTGCTGGTTTGGAGTGCAAGAGTTACTTTCAAAGGCTTCCCTGGAACTTCCTACACCCTCACGCCTGGACCCTTGCTGCATTAAGCATTATGCATAGTGCATTAGTTCAGTGATGGAACGTGGGAGGTGTGTGCATGTGTATGTGTATGTGTATATGTTTGTGTGCGTGCTTGGTAGAGAGGTATACAAAGAAAAGAAAAAGAAAAAAAAACGGAACATCCTACTTTTGAGTGGGAGGTTGTTTTTGCGGAGAGGTGCCAAAAAAAAATGAAGCAATATTTTGCTGTGAGAGAGATGCTGCCTAACAAAATGTAGTGATTGCGATCGGCTGTAACACACATACGCACACCAGAGACATGCACGCTAGAAAATAATTTACATTATTGCCAATAGCAGATGTACAGTAAAGAAGAAATCCTATGTTTGCCTGCCAAGTTAGCTATATCCAGGTGGAAGCCTTAAGGGGCCAATGTAACGTTTGAAGATGTATTGATATACTACTGCTGATATATAGTGTTATTTCTAGTCTATGCCAAAGTACCACAGAGATGCACTTTTTTTGTAATCAAAACAAGTTGAACCCACACTGTTTTTGCAAAATTTATTATGTTTACTCTCTATTCAGTACAGTTTTTGAGCAGTTGGGCTTCATATAGGCAGCCCTCATTATTAAAAGATCGCATGCAAGAAAGTGTGTGTATGTGTGTTACAAGTAAGTTAAGTTTTTAATTAAGGACGTGCTTGTTTGGAAGGTTCTTACTGTCATTACAGCACATAGAAACATTTATAAATAGTGGCACAATAGGTAATCATGCTGTTAATAATGGAGACTGTATTTACCGCTTTTATTTATTCCTCCAAGTTCTGTTGGATCAGTGAGTTGCCTCACCTGAGTGAAACTGTTACAGCACTGGGCCCCCACCCCCCCAAAAAAACAAGATAGAGCAATGTAGAGCAAAAAAAAAAATCTTAAGAAGGCAAACCTAGAATGTGTAGAAAGATCAAGGTAGAGAATGAAGAAGAGAGATGTAAGGATGGAGAGTGAGTTTAGAGGTCGTTGTTTGTTTGGTTTGTTTGAAGCCAGCTTGAACCAGGCGGTCATGAGACGATGTGTAGAAAACATGAGATTAGGATTTGAGCTCTTTCGAGCTTTACTGACGAAAAATGTAGACACCCACTCACACACAACACACACACACACACACACACACACACACACACACACACACACACACATAAACTTACAAACTCAGAGCCCAGTGCTACAGAAGTGTTCACAAAGGAAGTTCAGTGCCATTGTTACCAAATGGGGTTATAAATTGTATTATATGTTACATTCACATGTTATTAGTAAAAGATTCTTCCTTGGTAGCAATATTTGTATCAAAATTGAGCTCATCTTTGTATTTTATTCAGCAGTTGATTGTAATTATAATTATGATGATGTCATTTTTGAGTAGTGGCATAACTGTGGCCGTGCACACAGGACCAAAGACATAACAAAGCACCGTTAGATCCTCATACGAGCTGTAATTTTCTTAATGCCGTGCTTCATCTGTAGGGTAACATGTCACTTAATGCTGATGCAGGAATGACTGCTCAGTAGTGCAGTCAGTCAGCAGCTGCTTTTCCTCTCCCCAAACTCCAGCATGTGGCAACTTAAGTGAAGGGATTTCCAAAGCACATAGAAGAATGAAGCATCGATCACCAATAATAATCTTTTTTTCATTTTTTTTTTTACTCATTAGTAAATGTGCAAGTAAATACAGGATTGAAGAATGTCAGACTGCCCTAGCCTTATGTTCAAACCCAATCTGTAGCTCAGCAAAAAAAAAAAAAAAAATGAAAAAGTTGTCTTCAGAGTCTGTTTGGGTCAATAAGTGTAAGTAAAAGCCGATGTGACTGCCACAAGCTGTACTGTTCTGACCTGGATAGAGAAATTGAACACATGGGACCTGTTCCAGAAAAGGACAAGGAAACAAGACCTTGAAGCCAGACGGGGATACAAATGAAAACGTTGAAGATTTAGAGGAAGGAAGACTGCAGTCTCATTCCAACGTCGCTCTCACCAGTACTGTAATCATGATCACTTCCTGATATGCATTCTCATCGTTGCTGCCACAACAACAAACTTACCCCCCTTTGACCCTACTGAACCTAAGTATGTAATTATTCAAATGATGCTTTTCTTTAGTCACAAGTTGCTAAATTCTATAAGTTTGTGTTTGAACCTCACTGCTATCTCTCCCCATGTCTTCCTTATTGTACATACATGTCAGCTTGAAAGAAAAAATTGTAGAAAAAGCATACCCCCCCCCTTGTGTTTATTAAGCTTATTAGCGACATACACCTTGATAAACCCTCACTTGTGATAGCATGATCACCTTTTCCTACCGCACAGTTTTACCATATGTTGTTGTGTATTTCATTTGATTTACTTAAACGGGTTGGGGAGGTTTTATGTTACTGTTTTTCATTGTTTTTCAAACACGCTTTTGTAATTGTGTACTATGCATTAGGCTATAACTGTGAGAGAGACAGGACTTGTCTGTAACTTGTCTATGCATGAATGAATTTGAACAATTATGCAAATGCTGTAACCATGACAGGTTTTTTGGTGGGCACATTACAGCGTAAAACCTGCTTCGCACCGTGGCTATCCAGCTATCCAATGGGATACATTTAAACAGATCATCTCGACCAGGGATTTTTAAAACTGTCAAATTGCAGTCATCAGCAGGTGAAACCCAGTTAATACCAGCTTACAGTGAGGCCTTCACTCACAGGCTGAACGACTACTATGGGCACTTCTTGCTCTCTCTCTCTCTCTCTCTCTCTCCTCCAGATGCATTTTCTTCATGCATTCTATATATAAATACCTAGATGTAAAGAAAATGTATTTATAGAGTGGTGCCTTGTTCTGACACCAGATGTTTTCTTCATAAAGGGCTCTTGAGTCTGAACACAATCACTGTTGTTCGGTTATGGCTGTCTTTAATGGGGGAATGCGAAATTGACCTCTGAGGGTGAGAGACAATGTCTTCACTAATAAGCATGGAACGATCTTCCCAGGATTCTGTTTTTCATGTCTGCCTCCATTACAGCAACAGGATTTGAGCCCTTCACCAACTCAGCCAGCCAGCGCCCTGTATAGAAAAGACACTGCTCCTTGTCATACAGGCATCTGCCATCTTGTCTGTCTATAAACAACGAATATGCAAGAACTATACTGTGTATTTGGCTTTTGATTTTTATTGTGTAAAAGGCTCTTTAATGATGTATACTTCAGGAAAATTGTGGTACGTTCTGTTTTTTAATTCTTCATTTTTTAAATAAATTGGGGAAATAAATTCCTGTTTTGTCATTTTATATAGTTATGATACTAATATATATACTTCAAAACAAGTTGTAAGCTAAAGGTTTGGGGTTTAAGTTTAGTTCTGTGTATTGGTACATATAAATACAGGGTTCAAAGATTTTATATATATACATATATAATATATTGAAAATTATGGCTGCACTCATAAAATAATAACATATTATATTGTCTAAATGCATGCAGATATAACTTTTATGCAAATGTGGGATGTTCTAAATTTATTCAAGCGTAAATCCTGACTGAGAGACAAGCAAGACACCAGAGTCTTAGTTCTTCTTAGTACACAAACAGTGAAGACCTTGGACCAGGGTTGTATAACTGAATCTGCATTACTTCAGTACATTTTGATCTCTGGATTAAACATTTGAAAACGCTATGGGGACTCTTACAAACGTTCTCCTCTGCAGCTTTGTTGGTGAGTCAGATCAGTTTATTTTAAGATATAATAAATCCAAAATACTCATTATCTAATATATACATATAGTATATCAGTGTTTATATTTGTGTAGATGCAATTATCCTCTGGGTTTTGTGGGAAATGGACATTTCTACATGTCTGTAAAACTAAGTATGAGTATGTACTCTATATAACTTTTTATTTTTACATTTAACTCTTGAGTTCTGGTTCAGTGAACCACATCTCCTGTCAAAGCAGATGGCTGTGTTATCGTGTTAAATTTTTTGCTCTATGTCCATTGTAAATATAAGTTAAGCTTATAATATATGTAATCATAATTAAATAATTTGATTTAATTTTAATGAAGACATGTATAACAACATGCTATAATTGTTGGTTCCTCCACAGTAGTGTTTGCTCAGAATGGTGTGAAATTAGAGGCGGACAAGCCATTTGAACGCCAGGAGCTCGGTGCCTCAGTGTCCGTGCAGTGCTGCTACGTCAACGTTAATGAGAAAGTGCCATCAACTTGGGTCAAACTCTTTGTAGTTGAGGGCAAACTCATCCCTCAACCAGTTGAAAATTCTACAGCTCTGACTACAAAATTGAAAGAAGTAGGTAACAAAAAAGTCTGTTACGTCTTAACCTTCGAGACACTCCAGCTGAATGACAGTGGGATGTACCAGTGTTGGCTGAAGAGCAAGGGAATGTTCACACATGGCACCTACCTGCAGGTCTACAGTGAGTATGTGTATGTGGTGGTGGGAAGGCCAGACCAGTCCGAAATGCTAGTGGGAGCGTGTGTGTTTAACAGAGAGAGATGGAGTCAAGTGAGCTCTAAGCACTGCTAACACCCCATAAGCCATAAATCCTGTTAACCTCAGTCTACCCAAGAGCTGTGTCAGAGGCAGCATCCTTGCCTATCGCAGCTTAGTTAATCTTTACATCATCAGGGTGGTCTCATTACAGTCTGCTGCCCAGTTCATTTCTTTAAATTGCACCAAGATTAGATCAAGTTGCAATCAAGCTAATGTGCGGAGGAACATTGAAATGCCATTTTGCATCATAATCCCATTAAATACAAGTGGCAAGTGTGGAAATGTAAAACAATCACTAAACTCCTCTGTGGATTATGTGTGAGATAACCTGCATTAGTTTACAAGAACACCATAAGCCTTACCTAACAATACAATCAATTGTTTATCCATGTAATTTACATGTTAGTCTGTGTTCTTTATAGTAAATGGTACAGTTATATAAGAAAACAAAAGTCTATTTCGTACTAAATCTCCAAGTAAGTCTGTTAAGTAATTATTTAGTTAGCCTGATTATTTTTTGCACTTCCACTTGCTACGGAAACAAGTACTTGTATGCAAATACCTAAAGGCACTTACTGTTTCTCCTCTGAACCTTCTCTATGTGCCTAGAACCAGTGAAGAAGGCAATAAACCTCAGCGAAAACACCAAAAACAAGATCCTGACAGCTGAGGGAATCTTACTGTTGCTGTGTGTGCTTCTGCCTTCCGTCACCCTTCTCCGCCAGGTCAGAAGGTCCCCTTATTGTGACTGACTGTACATTACCATACACACATCTGTCAACTACCCCTGACCCATAGCATTAATGTTGAAGTGATAGTTACTTTCCAAAATGTCTCAATAGGGATTTTGCCTTATCATTCATGTGAACACACCAGAAATTATTGCATTCTGTAAGCCTACTTTGACTGTTCCAACCACCTACACCTATAAGTTTCTTAAATGGTTATTTTCGTAGTGTTTCTTGACTTTCCTCCAATGGGAAGTTGCGCCATTTCACAGTTTTACCAACTTCTGCTTTCCCCTCGCAGTCAAAGAGACTAAATGAACTGGAAAGGAAGAAATCGAAGAAGGAGGAGGAAAACATATATCAGGTGAACTTTAAATGAGTCACCTCCTCTCTGAGTCAGATAAGCTACATTTCACGTCAGACATGATGAACTTGTGCAAGTCTCTTTGTTGAAAGCAGAAACTAAGATATACGAACGAACATGTGATCTTGTGCCACAAATCAATTTATCATGAATATGTTGAATTGATTTTTGTGTGTTTTCTTCTATCTTTCTTATCTCATACGTCAGGGGCTAAATCTGGATGATTGTTGCACCACATATGATCAGATCGAACGCTCCCAGGGACATGGCCCGTACCAGGATGTGTGCAACATTGCTGAGGAAGAGGAGGAGATCCAGCTGGAGAAACCCTGAGGGAAGGGAAAAGATAAGGGAAGAAAAAAGGGAGTGTTTTAATGGCTGAAGGTTAAGTGTGTGATATCTGAATATCAGGTTATTGCTTTACCACACACATTGGAATTTGAAGTGTTGTACATAGCCTGCAATTACAGTTTTAGCATCTGACAACATATTGTTTAATCAGCTTCTTTAATTTGAGATTGAACATTTTGAGCTTGTAGCAGTTGACAAAACAGTCTCACCACAATGTCCATGCAGTCAGGGGCGTAGACAGGAGTGTAGAAACACTGAGGTCAGAAGTCCAAGAAGCCCGTCCACTCCAGATCATTTTGAAGATACTTATTTTCTACGTTTGATACAATCAGCTGTATATTATCTTATTATCTTTTTGTAATTATATACATTTAAAAATAGTTAAGTCTACTCCAAATTTTTATTTTTCTTTGTCAAATGCATGGACACAATAGTGAAACAATAGTAGTATCTATATTTAATAATAATGAAAATAATGATAAATAATAAAATGGAAACTTCTGTGTCTTTCAAACATAACGCATTATCCTCCATATTCATGGAATTAGGCAAAATCTCTGCTTTTAAACCAAAATGGATGGAAAGTCCTTTAAGTGCTCAGAAAATGTCGAAACATGCCGAAAACTGCATATGCAAGATTGTGTAATGTGACCTGAAAGCTTATAAGTGGACTTGACTGGTGATTGTTTTATCAGCTTCTTTAATGTTTGTTGTGAATCTATGTGAATAATCTTGCATTTTACTGAATGACCTGACTGTGTGTCACAATGTATTTGCTTTCTGCCATTTCTATGAGTACTCAAAGAATAAAGTTGTAGAAAAGAAATCTTACAAATTCTTCAATAAATTATCTAAAAGACACAACCTGGGGACCCCCAATAGAGGTTGCCAAAGCTTCACGGGGGGGAATGGGGGGGTCGCAAAGCCATCTTGATTTTATGGTGGACTAAACGAATTAAAATTGTTATTTTTTAAGTTCAGACTTTTATTTAAGATCTAACCTTTGAATACCTGAACACCAGCTATCTTCATAGAGTCTTTACTCTGTGCTCAACACTGGTCAACAATGCCCAAGTGACTAAATTAGTCAAAAAAAGAAGCCTATTAAATAAGTATGTGTCTCTGATCAATACTCACACATTGCGTTCACTATTTGGATTAATTGTACAGTGTGTGAGCTGTTCTGCACTGTTGTTGTTATGCATTGAATATAATATGAAATATCCATAAAGAAATAACTTAATCAGGGGTTGTCTGTGTGCTTCATGGTAGAAGAAACACTGCTCTAATATGTACTGAATGGACTGTACAACGAAGGCAATAGGGGGCGGACACTTATTGGCATTCGAGCGTCGTGATTGGCTACTGGACCGCGACGCACTCATTCATTGGCTCTCGTATGTTGGCGTGGGCGGGGCCTCGGCTCTCCCAGGCAGGTATGTATAGGAGAGATGTAACGTTAAGAGGCGGTGCGTAAACAGAGTGGGCGAAGATGGCGTCGAACAAGAAGAGTGGTGGGAGTAGCAGATTTGAGAAAAGTGTGAATGGAAGACGCTCGTCGAAACATAAAGAGGGTCCAGTGGGTGAGTTTCTCTGTGTCGTGTCACCGTCGTCACAACCCTCCCCCCTTTAAATAACGTCCCCCCCTTTTTATTGACCCCTTTCGCCTCCCGTTAGCGGCTACGTTAGCTGGCCTCGGGTAGCCCAAATGAACCACTAGGATTTAAGCCGCCTCAGCTGCTTAGTTTCTGGGGTTGTTTTATGACGCAAAAACGAGGAAGAGGCACTCAGGAAATCAATGCCGTAGACTGAAAGAAGCAACCCGGTCGACCTCCTTCGCTGACATGCCTTTAGTTAACGAGCAACCCCCCCGGTCATAGCTACTACAGTAACGTGCACCGTTAGTTGTAGCAGTGGTAGTAATGTCATCGAGGTTGTAGACCTTCAATACAACCTTGTATTTATATTCACCTTCTCACGTCTGTGCCTTCCTGTAGTCTCATCCGCGGACTCTGACTGGAACCACCTGAACAGGTAGTACTCCAAAACATAAACAAGGAAGGGGGAGGGGAGGAGAGGAGAAGGGGAGGTTTGGGACTAGATTAGCCTCCCAAGTGTGGTACTTCCTAATGTGCATAAATCGATTAAGCGAATTGATGGGGTCACTGGTGACATGAGATCAGGCTGACACACGGTGACGAATGGGCAGCTTGGGAAAGAAGGTAGCAGACTGAACAGGATGCTGCCTGCAGCCACTGTGGATCTGCTGCTATTACTAAACAGACTGCCTCTGTTGCTCTGTCCTCCTGTTAACTCGGCCACTGTCTCACTGTAACTGGAACAATCCAACCAGTGCCAAACCAATACTACTTTCAAAAGGCTTCATTAGCTTTGTCAGGAGCCCTAACAATATGCCATACATTGTGTCTGTGTGTGTGTGTGTGTGTGTGTGTGTGTGTGTGTTTGCTACAACATTTTTTACTTTTATGAATGGGGTGTTTATAAAATACTCAGGCTTCCATAATGAGATTAGGATAGTTTTTAACCTAATCTTACTTGTTGTGTGAGGTTACAAATACGCTCAGTTTTCGTCAGACCTGAACATCTGATCTCTTTCATTTAAAGCATTGCATTATAAAACTGAAAGGAAGCCTTATGTGTCCCATTTGGGGGGAGGCTCATTGTTGCTAGTTTCCTGTTGTTCAGTTTGGCCTCGTGTGTATGAAGGTGGTCTGCCTAGGAGAAGGGTCAAAGCCTCTGAAGCCAAACACAACACTACAGATCCCCTGTCGTTGGTGCTTCCTCTTGACTGTGCACTGCACCAGTTTGCTATTTTTAAAGCTGGCTTCCTATAGACATGACATTTTGTAGAGTATCAGATATCTGGCGAAGCTAAAAAACACTGACCAGATACCATATCTTGTAGAAGAAAGGCAAAATAAATTCTGCCTGGGTTAACATTTGTCATATGTTGACACTTTCTTTCATAGATATTAGACAACATTGTGCTGTCCCCAGAGTTCTTATTCTAGGAACAACTGTAGTGTTTTCATTTTCTTGGTTTACCCAGACTTCACATTTCCCCCCCAAATGTGGTCTGTTTGGGCTTGATAAAGAGAAACACAAGAGAGCAATGAGTAAGAAACTGTTGAGGCAAGATCAGCACAGTTAATCACACTGACATTAAGAAGTAGCTCAAAGCCTTCTCAACATTAGACTAGACCTTTTAGTGTGGAAGGGAGCAGCACGGCTCTAATTGCTATGTCATGTGTGTGAACAAGCAGGTTTTTCCGGACAAAAGGACAACTTCTTGTTTGCGTCTTTGTGTACAGGCATTACACTACATCAGAAGTAATAAACTAAACTATAAATTAGCCTGCCTTTTGCAACTGCACTTACCCATGCAGTGGAAGAGTACTAGGAACTATAAAAAGATGACATGGAAGTGCATCAGTCAGATTATGCATAACTGTTGACTATATATTTCAATAAAAGAAATGGAAATAGAATAGAAAGAAACCTTTTTTTTTTTTACCCAATCTGACCTGTTGCGTGAGGTTGCAACAAGTCAGAATATCAAAATATACAGATAGAAAATAATTGGATACAGTTGACAACTTCTTTACAGACGTGCAGATTAATTCATGAAAAAAATCCTTTTCACCAAATTTCTTGGAGCTTTCTTAACAGGTTTTATCTTGCAGCTAATGTGTTTTTACCAACAGACATTTTGATATGTCATAGTGGGAAAAGCACAGGTGTTAGTGATAAATAAAACAACAGCTCTGACAGTGTGACAGTGAGCTGGCATGCACAATACCAGGACCCTGAAACTGAAGGAATTTGTTTTATTTACACCTGCACTTTTCCTACAACAGTATAGCAAAATGTCTTTCATGGAATAAGCCAATATGCATAAAGCAAGCATTAAGAGCAACAGGTGGGAATGTTTGGTGCAATCAATAACAGCAACAATAAAAACAACAAACAACCAAAATGGGCCTTAGTGGAGAGTCTATGTGTCAGCGTTCCTGGGTATGTTTGTGCGTCTCTGTCGGTAAAAGGTCAGCTCTCAGTTCTTTCAAATTATGGGGCTGTCATCTGTGACATCAGCCAAGAAGTCTAAACTAAGGTCACATTTTCCCTTAAAATAGATTCTCCAAGTTACATTTTCACCCTGTATTTTGGGTGTGCACGCTTTGTCCATGTTCTGCGTTCATTGCCAAACACTAGTGTTTCTCAACAGTTGGCACATACAGCACATTCCTGCTGCATACACAAACAACAGATATATGTTCAAAGGTGCTACATACATGTTCAAGTCTCACACAGGCCCTACTAAAAGATAGCACTTCAATATCAGTTGTAGGTACGTGACTTGTACCTAAAGTAGGTTTAAATATTGTGATTAGTTGATTGATCAAACAGTTGATTGTGACAATTTTTACTATTGTCAAGTGGATTTTCCAAACATTTGCTGGGCTGGTTACAGCAATATGTGAGGATATTCTCCCCTTTCTTTGTTTATGATTGTCATTTGTACTCTTTTTTTGGTTAGTTTTTTGACTGTTAATCAACAGATTAATTGATAACTTCTACTGTTGTTTGTTTACATTTGTTCTGTGGCCTTGAACCACACAAGATGCAAAGAAAAGGAAGAAAGCCACAATTGAAATATTGTTATCATCTCATAATCTCACGGTTGTGTCCCTGCCAATGTCTGTCTGTACTAGATCTGCCAATTGGGGTGAAGGTCACAGGGAGTTGCAAGCTAAAGCACCAATCGGTCACAGGGAGAGTTTACTGGGTTGGGGTTGTCTGTAGCTTCTCTGCCCTTTTTTAAAAACAAGGCATGGGAGGGATGAGCAGAGAGGAAAGAAAAGGACATCACATTGCCTCTGAGTACAAACGGTTATGACAAACTGACACACAGAGGCTGACGAGAAGAGACACATTGTGAAGACAAGAGACTGACAGCGTGAGGGAGAACAAAACCAATTGGAAAAACCCTCTCTTTAATCTCTGTCATACCTCCCTACCTCTCTTTTTCTCATTCTCTATTTCTTTTTTCCCCTCATTGCTTTCGTGGAAGAGAGGAGACAGACAAGGACAGAGCCTTAACCTCAGACACTGGTAAACACTTTTTTTTCCTCTTTCAGCTTTTCAATATTTAGTCCATACCATCAATTATATGCTATGCCAGAAGCAGCCTGCAGGTAGTTTAATACTAACACTCATTTCACACTGTATGTGAGCCCAGCAGGAGTCATTATACGCCTGTAATGTCACTGGTGTTGGTTGTTATACATGACTTATTAATGCCCACTCCCATCCATCTTTAATGTGGAGAGACAAGGTGCAACTTAATGGTTGCAGTGGGATTACAGTGACCACTTATGTCAGTAACACAGGAGGGGATGAGGCTTGGTATTGACAGATCAGCTAGAGGTGGCATATTGTGGAGTATTTGCTGATGCACAAAAGTCAGAGGTGATAAGGCAAGCAGGTGAGTTATGTTTTTCCTTACTCCCATATATAATATATTGACAACTATCCTGGTGTGAGTGTAGTGGTAGCTTTATTATCTCTCTGTTTGGGGTATTATGTCAAACAGAGCTGAAGTCTTCACTGGGCCATGGCACGTTTGTACTCTGAGTGAGCTCTCGATAAGATTGTACTGGTTTGCATGAACTGTGTTCATTTGCATTATATTTGCATGTGACTCACTCCCTGCAGTTAGATAGTGGTGTAATGTGAGCTGGCTTCATTATCATTAAACAAGTTTTAGAACAGCTTATGCTGATCCAGGGGTTCATGAAGTTCACG